AACGAAGGGGATTGGGGCACCAAACACCTCTCTTCAGTAGTCAGTTTTCGAGAGTTGGAGTTACGGTGCTGGAAATGTTGGTGAAAGTCAAAAGCACTAGCTCATTATCAGGGCATCAACAGTTCCGAAGACAGGCGCCACAGACCCAAGAGCCGCTCCTGCCAGCATCTCGGGAGAAGCATAGCCCACCGTCCCGACAGTTTTCTTCAGCGCCTCCTCGGAGAAGGGGCTGCTTGGCAGTGGCTTTTGCGGAATCTAGAATCTAGAACTTGCAGGTTCATGGGTAGTTTTAAGTAGGGTTATAAGTAGGGTAGCTATACTTCTAACCCATATTAGGGGACTTCTAACCCCACTTATAACTACCCATGAACCTCCAAGAAGATTACCGGTGCTTGCTTGAGAGTCGTCCCTCTGTGCTTCGGGTTTCGAAGAATGGAAACTTGTGAAGGCGACGAATATAACGTGATAAGAAATAGAAGCAATGAAAACACAATATTATTACATTACATTACATGACTGTTACATTATAACTATAACATATTGTACTATAATCTGAGCAATACTTGCAGAAAGTTTTATACATGTACGTATATATATATATATGTAGAAAGAGAGCGAGAGAGAGAGAGAGAGAGAGAGAGAGAGAGAGAGAGAGAGAGAGAGAGAGAGAGGGAGAGAGAGAGAGAGAGAGAGAGAGAGAGAGAGAGAGAGAGAGAGAGAGAGAGAGAGAGAAAGAGACATGCGCATATGCAAACACGTGCTGTTTTGCACGAAATCAGAGCTGAGCCCGACAACACCAAATCCTGATCTTCGTTAAATTACAGGATATCTGAAGTTTAACAACCACCTAAGATTAGGGTTTAGGGTTCAGGGTTGTGAGAAATGAACCACGGAACTTGAAGTACATCAAGACTGCTTGATGAGGACCGTCTACCTCCACACCTTCACTGCCAGCATTTTCACCATCTTCTGGAAGCCGTCATACCCACCAGAACTACCTTCAGCATCGTAGACACAATCTTCAACATCAGCCTCATCGTCATCACCCATCATGAGCTCATCGTAATCTGTTTCATCCTAACTATTATTGGCAAAATGAGCATGGTGTCATGGTGGCACGTTTGCGGCGACAATCTTCGCACTTTGGCCTCCAACGTATGCGCGACGATCTTCTAGCAACATCTTCTTCAGCGACATGAAGACTGCATGACCACCACCTCTAGAAGCGTTGGCAATGGATCAAAAACACCATCGTCATCATCCAAAGGTGCTACCGGCAGCATCATATGTTCCTCCGTCATTCTATCCATCTCCAAGGCGACATCATCTCGATCATGTCCTAGTGATCGCGGCCGTGATCATCATCATCATCATCACCGTCGTGGCTGAGCCTGTTGTCCGTGCTATCGTCTGACAGATAATGGTCTTGCAGAATCTATTCTGCAAGAGTCCCCCACAACGATAACCGCCAAAATAAGAGAAGGACGGAAAGTCTCCACAGGCGCACGAGGTACTGAGATACTCCATCGTATCTTTGCAGAAAGAGGGCACTTCCACAAGCCCAACCCCAAAAGCTTGCCCTCAGGCGGGAGACCAGGTAGTAGAGAGTAAGGTTTGTAGACAAAACATGCTGGAGTGGGTGTTGCAGTTCGGATTTCCGGCTGCAGTCTCACGACACGAAGCCTCAGCCAGCACCACTCATCTTCAGTGTCGGTGTTTTGATGTGCTTCGGCCCGTGGCTGAAGCTGAAACACCATATAGTCTGGACCGGGCATCGGTCGATGGCTTCCAGTTTCACTGAGGCCCCTGCCGTGTCACTAGTCAAGGTGGCAATGCCGAAGTCCGTCAGCACAACCTTGATGGAGTTGTTGACCTTGCAAATCTCGCGGCTTTGCGCTGATCCGTGTCGTCGTGGTAGCGTAGTAGTAGTAGTAGTAGTAGTAGTAGTAGTAGTAGTAGTAGTAGTAGTAGTAGTAGTAGTAGTAGTAGTAGTCGTAGTAGTAGTAGTAGTAGTAGCAGCAGCAGCAGCAGCCTGTCGTCGTCGTAATCGTGTTAGTAATCGTAGAAGGAGGAAGTTGTCGTCGGCGTCGTCACAGCCAGCGTGGTCGTGGCTGTCGTCGTTGTAGCAGCAAGAGCTTAAACGGTCGTGTCTTAATTTCGCGAAAACTGAAGGATCAGTCGGGGACATTTGTAGAAATCGAGGATCATGTATACATCTTGGATTCGGGTTTCGGGTTTAGGGTCTCGCTTTCAGGGTGGAGGGTGCAGCCGTTTGTTGGGTGTAGCTGTAAGGGTTCTGAGGACGTTTCAGGATCCGCGGCTCCAGTTTACAGCCCGTGGATCAACCCTAAACCCCTACACCATACACGCCAACCTCTAGACCCGATACCCCAACAAACCCTCAACCCCGAACTCTAACCCCGAACCCAAAACCCTAACCTTACCTTTGGTTAGTAGGGAATGGAAGAATGGTGGTACTAGTAGTTATAATTGCACCCCATTCCTCCATTCCCTACTAACTAAAGGTAAGTAAATCCGCTCTTTGGGAATCTTCGAAACCAAGGGGCCTTTATAGGAACGAACCCTAGAAAGCCCGACCCCTCCCAGGCCAAAGGTAAGTAACTGGACGGAGCAAGCAGATCCTACTTGTCGGGTATCATGGGGAACCAAAGGTTAACCTTTTTGGTTATATAGGGATTATATAGGGACTATACTACCCAAAAAAGGTTAAAGGTTACCTACTCGACAACTAGCAGATTCTCTCGATGTTCCAGGCTAGTGCTGGGAGACAGTAAGTCGTGGGATGATGGGACAGGCTTTCGGTTTGGGCTTGGATTTTCATGTTGGGGCCCTCATAATTTCGCTATAATATATGTATATATATATATATACATATGTACACGTATTTATTTATTTACACATACATATAACTACATTGGGACGATTGGCTATGAGGCGATGCGCGTAGCAACAATTCAGACCTCAATATTAAGCAGTCTGAGGCATTGGTGTGCGGTGTGTTCGCTTCAGACTCACGACGCACACTGCGTTACTGCGCCTTGCACACAGCCCTCTTTGTCTGTGATGAATTCCAAACCTGGTGGAAGAGAAGCTGCAGTCTCTCTTGGGCTGCCATCCACCATGCAGGAAGCTTCGGGAAGGGCCCTATGTGAAACACCCTTCTTCCTACATCTTCGGGGCTCTTCAAGTAGGACCCCTCCCAATGCCATCCCTGAACCCCGGACAGTATTGAGGTTTGCAAATACGGCAGGAAAGAAGCCGAAAATGTCGTCTTTACATGGAGCGCCAAAACCCCGGGCAAGTTTCAAAGCCCGGGGTCGCATGCCGACTAAGCCTCCAAGAGAAGATGCTGGGCTTCTGTCAGGGCGCTTTGTCACCGCCGATAAAAAAAGGGAACAAAATCAGGGTGTGGCCATCCCTGAATGCTGAAAGGCCGTTCCAGTGCAGAGGCACAAATTCCCATACATAGGTTCGAAGTATTCCATACTGCACGGAAAGCTTTGGAATCTCTAAGTACGCAAAAGATGGATGCATGCACCCATTTGCTTCCATGTATGCTCGTACACAAAACTGCACGTACATAAAACCGTGCATACAATCATACATCATGCTTGATTACGTTACCTACATACCTACGTCCCTGCCTGCCTGTCTGCCTGCCTGCCTACCTGCTTGCCTGCCTATCTGCGCACATGCCCACCGATGAGACAGACACTGACAGACCGACCGACGGAGGGGACGGACGGACGGACATGCATGCTTTCATGCATTCATGCATTAATGCAATCGTCAATCATACATTCCTGCATTCATGCATTCAAGCATTCATACACGCATGCATGGGTACATACATGCAGACATGCATGCATACATCATACATACATACATACATACATACATACATACGTACATACATACATACATACATTCATACATACATACATACACACGTGCATACATGCATACGTACATACGCACATAAGAACAGGCAGGTAAGGATCATCAACGGACATGGGAACACTTGTGACCATTCATTGCAATCAGTTGAATATGTGCATGCAATGATGTACGCATGCATGTCTCTACAACTCCAACAACGACAACATCAACAACAACAGCTACAACTACAACTCGGCTACAACTACAACACGCACAACCACCACGACGACGACAGCGATCGCGACAGCAACAGCACAGTGACAGCAACAGCAACAGCAAAACACAGAAAACAATCAGACACAGAAAATAAACTGCCACGACCACAGATACACTACAGCCACAGTCACAGGCAACAACAGCAACAACAGCAACAACAGCAACAACAGCAACAACAACAACAACAGCAACACCAGCAGCAAAACCAACAGCAATAGTAACCACAAAAGAAATCCAGCCACAACACCAACCAAAACCAAAGCCACACAAATGGTTATGGTTAGGAAGGACGGCGACGAGGACGAAGACAACGCCAACTGCGACAACTACTCCAGCTGTTGACGCCACGGCCACCACAACAACCACCACCGCCACGACGATGCTTGTTGGGACTTATATCGTGCCCTATTTGCGCGGGGAGCTTCTCGTTTCAAAGGCTTTCGGGATTCAGAGCATGGCCCGCTGTGAGCTAAAATTCCCGAGCCGGAAGCTGGAGATGATACCTGGAACTTTCGGGTTTATTTTATTTATAACAAAATAACCTAAAATCTCATTAAACAATTTACATATTATTGTTAATGTTATATTTAATAAAGGGGCTTAGGGAACTTTCGGGTTTTGGCGCGGAGGGGCTTAAGACGTCAGCTTAGGGGCTGCGAGGCTTGAGGTGCAGGGTGTTGGGTTTAGGGTTTTGGGGTTAGGGGTTTAGGGTTTAGGGTTTAGGGGTTTTTGTTTTAAGGCTTTTGGCTTTTTTTACGGCTTTTGGGTTTAGGATTGAGGTTTTACGGTTTGACTTCTTCACTCCAGCTCCCTTAGTCACAGCTTCATTTTGGGTACACGGTGGCGCTCTTCAGCACGCGCCCGTCGTAGTTGATGGACTCGATGAAGATGCTAGACCCGGAGATAGTCAGGTCGTAGAAGCCATACCTGAGCGATCAGGGTTTAGGCTTTCGGGTTCAGAGTTTAGGGTTCGGTATAAAGTTTAAGGGCATACGGGGTGCAAGTACAAAATTGAGGGTCGCGGTTTCCAGAATGAAGGCTAGAAGACCAATTTGCAAGATAATGAAGTCCACATAAAGCTGGGGAACCAATCGCCAAATGAATGGATTATTTTGCTGTGGTTCTTTTGCACATGGCAACCTACTATACCTGCGGGCCAAAAGCAGAACGGACAAGTTTTTCAAAACGGCCTCTCTTAGGTCCTAGCGCCCCTAAACTCCTACATCTTCCACCGACAGTCCCCCAAACCTTAAGCCCCTATCCCCGGATGATGAAGCCCTCAACCGTCAAGACAAACCCATGTAACCCTGGCCAGGCCAATCTTCGAAGAGAACTAGAACCTCCCAACCCTAAACCCTTTACAAGAAATGTATCCTGAAGTTAGGATTTAGGGTTTAGTAGCTATGGGGTTTAGGATTTAGGATTTAAGGTTCAGGGAAGACCGCTACCGTAAGATTAGTGTCAGAAGGTTGGGGTAAGGCTAAGGTGAGGGGCAAAAACATAAACACACGCATCACTAAATGCGAAACCTTCCGCAGTAAACCCTAAAACCTTCACCGTAAACCTTAAAAACCTAAACCCAAAACCATTAAACTTTAAGCCTTAGACGGCAAGCACCTAAAACCCCGATCCCTTACCTGAAACCCTGAATCATAAGTCTAATCCCTACCCATAGGCCCCAAAGTAGTTCCTTTTAGGGAGTACCTAATAGGATTCTAAATATGAACCCCAAAAAGGAACTACTTTAGGGCCTTAGGGTAAAACATACTGACACGGGAAGGATGCTGGCCCTCTCCGTACCACTGCGACTTGTCCCAGGGCGAGGCTTCCGATGTTATGCCGCCGCCACCACCGGTAACGATGCCTGAGCGCTTAATATAGGGTTCCTTTGAAGGGTTCCTTAAAGGGTTCTATAGGCGATCTATGGTAGGGTTCTACTATGATTACCAGTACTATTTGGGCGTTCCTTTTTGTAAGGGTATTTCGAGGGGTTGACAATCGTTTCTGTAAGGCATCTATAAGGGTTCTGTAAGGATACCATACAGGCTCCATAGCGTCGGGGGATGGAGAGTTTGGAGTCTCGAGTGTAGAGCTTTACGTAGGGTACTGGGGTATAGCTGTTTTCCAAACAGGCGGAAACAAAGAAGGGTTTAAAGTTTAGAGGATGATTCTGTTAAAACTATGGGTGGGCTTAAGGCAAACAGAACGGCAGGTGAGCACTGCTAGCCATGGTCGTGCACAAAGCGCTAAACCCTAAACCCTAAAAACAAACAAGGCAGTCTACACACTGCGGAGCCTAGCTCCGAACACCCTGAACCCTCAAACATCCCACACAAGGCGCCGCCCTCGCAACAAAAAGTCCGACAAACAACCCTAAACCCTGAACCCCAAACCGTTCAAGAAACTCATAGAAGCAATCGGGAAAAAGCCAAGAAGCACATCATGCCACCCAGGGCTCCCCAGTTAGAGCCAAGCTCCTGGAATAGTCTTCGGGTTTGGGGTTCAGGGTTCGGGGTTGAGGGTAGGATTTACTAGTGTGGCAGGGCTTGGGATTGAGGCTCATGTGGCCCGGTAGCGTGTTCGAAAGCTTTTGCAGGTTCTCTCTAGGCCCGCTCCTTTGAGTGCTGCACCTTATAGAGCCCTTTAAGGGTTCCTTTAAAGGGCTCTATAAGGGGTCTTTAGGGTTCCTTTTAAGGGTTGCTTTAGGGGTTCCCTTAAAGGGCTTGGCCAGTATGTTGTGGATTCAAGGGCTCACCAGGGTTATATAAGGGTTTGACAAGGGCTCCACGAGGGTATAATCTAGAAGCCTGGTACAGATCTGACTAGCGACAGGATCTAAACTGGGTTTCTCAGGCTTATTTATACAATGCTACAAGACCTTTTGCGAGTGTTATGTGAGGGCTCTACAAGGGTTCCATAACGGCTTTATGAGAGTTCTAGCAGGTGGGTTTTGGGATACGGGCTTTAGTTCCCAAACGCTCTGAGCTCAGACACAACACAACTGCGCTTAGGTTTTAGCCTTCAGGATAAACTAGCCTGTCAGCTCAGGAGAGGATACGTTCTGCCCAAGCCCCTTCTTGTCTGATTCTTCCGTTCGTACAGACACTGAAGAGAATCCAAAATCGATGCGCGAAGCCAAACACAACTCCGGAGTGATTTCTACAACCCTCTACTTTGTTCGTCCGAAATCAACGGATGCCATCGACGCGGGGACTCTGCTACAAGCCCCCGGCGAAAATGAGGAGGGCTCAACTACCGATATTATGATTACTATGCTTCTTATTGTTATCATTGCTATTGTTCCTCCTGTTTGTCGTTCTCTGCTCGCCACGGCCCAAGGGCTGTTTGTCGTTCTTCTTATTGTAGTTACCAGTTTTCTTGCTATTCTGGTTCTTTTTATGAGTAGTAGTGCCTGTCAGTATTATACACTAGTATTGTTTTAATAACCCTAAACCCTAAACCCTAATAAGACTATATATCTGAATTTCTGTGGCAAGGATCCAACAGGGTGCAGCTCCTGGGGAGCTCGATCAACTTCGAGCGGCCTCCTACATCCTCTCGGTAGTAATAACGATAGTCTTGTAAGACGGATCATAAGAGGGTTTAGGGCTTAGGAAGACGGATCATAAGACACAAAATACCAAAAACACGGATAATGACAAGAATAATAAAAAGAAGCGCCGTAACAGCAAAAAACAGTAGTAATGACAGTAAAAGCCAGCCAATATACTTAAGACTGTCTGCTTGTATCACGGTGGGAGACCGGGGACCTGCTCGCATTGGGGGGAAGAGATTGCAGACTGCTACTCCAGAACCTGGGGCACTTAAAGACTTAGACCCAAATCCCTAGCGTTCCGGGTTTAGCGGTTTAGTTTAGGGTTGAGGGTTTTTGGGGCACCCCGAAACATCCCTAAAGGAGTCCTGGTCGTGGCGATGACCCGTCACAAGTAGGTCCAAACCATAGGAGGTGTGCAGGCTGCGATACCACCTGACATGAACCCTCAACCCGAAACCCCACGCACTGAACCTGAGCCGGGGTTGGGATTCAGGTGCTTAAACCCTACACCCTGTGTCAACACTTAACCCTCCAACCCAAAATCCTGAAGATAACGCCAAAACCCTAAACCTTGAAGAGAACTCAAGCAAGCTCTGGCTGGCCTCTGCGCTTCGGGCGTCTGGCTAGCAGTGCTCTTCCTACTGCACTGCTACTATAGACGCCTAAACAATTACAAATGCTAGATGCTGATTCTAATAAGTAGTTACAGTCAAATTTGCCGCAAAAACCATTCTAATTCACAAGGCCCCTACATTACACTGCTACATCCACAAGAGAAGTCACAACATAGACAAGAACAGCGCAAACGAGGAGAACGCGGAGAAGGATGGCTTGTACCCCAAGACCCCCCCCCTGAAGGATCCAGATGTCGGTGTCATTCTTGGGGGGAGGGTGGGGAGCTTAAACTCATCATGAGAAATCCACAGTATGCTGAATCCAAAAATGCGGGGCGTCCGCTGCTTTTAAGCAGAGCCTGAAACCTCTGCTCCAGCTCCCAGCCTCTCTTTCTCGTGTGTTTGGGATAGTGGCCTTGTGAGTCAGGATTTGAGAAATCAAATGGGTGGCTGTCAAACTTATGGTCCCTTTTTGGGAACCCTAACTATTAGGCGCCGTACTATAATAAGGACCCAAAAAGGGACCCTAATTTTGACAACCACCCAAATGAGTACGAGGTGCTTGGACCCCTCGGGTTATCTCCACTCCTACGGTTGATGATATAAATCCTGCACTACCTGAAGGACCCTAAACTATGGGAATTATGGTATATTCCTTATTATGGTTAATGCAGGATTCATATCATCCTAAACCCTAAACCCCCTATAGATCCCTTAGAGGTACCCTTATAGAGTCCCTTTAAAGGAACCCTAGGATTCATATCATCAACCGTAGCACAAGCTCGCTGCGGTGCGAGCTGCCCAGAGTCGTGGCCGCAAGGGAAGTGCGTGACCTGGTGCAAGTCACCAGGGTGGCCCCTTCTCTGACTTACTTAAAGGATCATGGGACTTAGTAAGTAGGTTATAATTGGGGTTAGAACTAGGGGACTTATAACCCCAATTATAACCTACTTACTAACTCCCATGATCCTTTAAGTAAGCCTAAACCCTAAACCCTAAACCCTGAACCTAAGGCTTAAGGCTTAAGGCTGGAGGTCTGGAGTTCAGGGTAGGAGGGTTAAGACTAGTTGGTGCGGGGCATCAAGCCAGATCTGAAGTTCAGAGGTTCATGGGAGTGCGGGAGTTCGGGATTGGGGATCTCAGATGGGTACCTACCCATTGAAGGCAAGCGGACCCGCCGGTCGTGTGAAGGACCCTACTCACTTGCCACACAGGCCCAACCCACAAATCACTAAACCCTAAACTCTAAACAGGCCCAACCCGCAAATCAAACCCATCGAAACCCAACCTGCACCTCGAAATTCCTACTGCTGACCTTGCTCTATACCCCAAACCAAATTCCAGAACCGATCGAGCCCCGCCCGGTTGTTTCTTTGAAACACTGCCCGGGCATTGGGAGTAAGGATTTAGCATCCGATGCTGTGCTGGTAGAGGTGGGGGCAACCGAAGGGACCCACTGGAGGTGCTGTAGTGGCGGTGTTGCTCTGGCAACGGAAGTTGTCGCAGCGGTGGATGAGACGGCAGTAGTGGAAGAAAAAAAGAACCCCCATGCAGGTGAGCAGATGAGGAAAGGCTAGCCGAAGCATCACGCAATGGTTCCCGAACCCTAAACCCTAAACCCTGCACCCTCAACCCTAAATCCTAAACCCTTCGCCGATTCCGAAACTCTTCAACAGTGCAGCCTGGGTACCATGATCTGCCAGGTGGCGCGAGAGCTTCTCAGCTTGCCTTCCTGATAGGGTTTACCCAGAGGCGCCATAGTAGTTCCTTTTTGGGATTACCTTCTAGGATTCTATATATGAACCCCAAAAACGAACTAGTTTGGGGCCTCTGGGTATATTATGGTTTAAGTGCAGAGTTTAGGAAGTCGGAATTGGTCACGGGCGCGCCATGGTTCTGGACTCTGCACAATAAGTACCATGTAAAGGCTGTAACACTGGAGCACAGTACTATCGTATACCGCAAGAAAGACATGCATGATAAAATGGTGCTACACAGACGCAAAAAGCCTCTTCGCAAATATGAACACAAGATAAGATGCAGAATGGAATTCGCAGTTTAGTCTATATGCCGTCTGTATTCGCTATAGAGCAAACCACTCTGCAAAATCAAAGTTTGGACAATGCAGCGGATGCTGATGTGTAGCGGTGTAAACCGTACCTTACAAACTGTATTTTGCGCAGTACATAGCATGTGATGCAAATACGCTTGCAGAGATCTTGCCGACGACTTTACCCGTACGTGTATCTATCTTGACTCAGTACCTTCATGATTTGCCTTGTAGTAGACAGAAGGGCGTGTGCAAAGCAAGAGCGACCGTCAAAAAACGCACTCCAAAATAATGTCAACTGTGTATGTATGTACTGTGTATAAGGTTTTTCTGAAGCAATCTATGTAGTGGTCAGTAACATGCCGCATGACACATGCACTGGATTGTAGCTCTCAATTCTTAGACGGTCTGCATACACATATATACATAGAATGTGTAAATACATACGTATATATATATATATGTATGTATGTATGTATGTATGAATGTATGTATACAGATGTGTCCATTGAAATGCTGTTTTTATTAAATGCAGCTATATACATACATATACACATATAGGTATGCATGCATGGTACGGACGATAGTATATCCACAACGTCACACTTAGCGATCCTAATCAAACGATCCTAAAACCTCAACCTCAAACAACCCTGAACCCTCAACAACCCTCGGCTCTAACCAAAGCTGCAGTGTGTTTAATTAGCTCTTTCTGGAACAGTCCCAGCCCTGAGCTCTATATCCATTGCCGGAGGCGAGTTTGCGCTGCTGTTACGACCGTCTCTGAGGCCCCAGACAACCCAAGGCTTCTGCTCTGCGTAGAGGGCCCAGAACCAATCCTGTCTCTGCCCACCCTAAACTCTAAACCCTAAACCGTAACCCTAAACCCTAAACCCTAAACCGCTCGGAAAGCTTAGAATAGGGCTCCTGTACACGGGTTTTCTGTAGCCCTGTACTGGAGTTATATATTATAATAGGTTCTAAAATTCTAGAAGGATTCTCAATACGGCCTTAACTATGAAAATGGGGCTTCGGAGTATAAGACTAACAAGGAACCCTTATTCGTCCAAGGGTTTACGGTTTCGAATATGAACTCTAGAGCTCTTCTAAGGTGTCGTGTTCGGGGTTGGTGGCTGTTCCAAATTCTTCGAATGGGCTTGGGGTTAGGGGCTGCGACTTTTCTAAACTACTCTGGCGGGCTTTGGTTTCTCCTGGGCTTAGGGTTTAGGGCTGTTCGACTGCTTTTTCCGCGACTGAGCCATGATTCGAAGCACGAGAACGAGCCCAGAGCTTACAAAACAACTTACTGCTACAAGGATTTGGGGGGACTCTGGGGAATGATGTTCCTGCTTCGTCAAGGGTCGAGATAACACAAAACTTGAGGGAGGATCCCTAGACCCAGGTCTGTCCGAATAGGGGGCGCCCTACCAGGAGTGTTGGGATCGGGGTATGTTTCGCGGGTATGTTTCAGGGTATGTTTCGGGGTGTGTTTCGGGGTATGTTTGGGGGTGTGTTTCGCGCAGACTATTAGTAGTAGCAATAGAAGTAGTAGCAGCAGTAGTAGTAGTAGTAGCAGTAGCAGTAGCAGTAGCAGTAGCAGTAGCAGTAGCAGTAGCAGTAGCAGTAGCAGTAGTAGTCGTCGTAGTAGTAGAAGTTGGTAGTAGTGATAGCAGTAGTAGTAGTAGTAGTAGTAGTAGTAGTAGTAGTAGTAGCAGTAGTAGTAGTAGTAGTAGTAGTGGTAGTAGTAGCAGGAGTAGTAGCAGGAGCAGTAGCAGTAGCAGTAGCAGTAGCAGTAGCAGTAGCAGTAGCAGTAGCAGTAGCAGTAGCAGTAGTAGTAGTAGTAGTAGTAGTAGTAGTAGAACAAGTAATAGAAGTAGTAGTGACAATAGCTGCAGTAGTGGGACAGGCATCGTTGTGGGCTGCAGGTCTGGAAGGTCCCGACTTGTCAGGCGGTTAGTATCGCTTCGAAGCGGAAAAGGCCAAACGGGCCACTTGGAGCAAATCCAAGTATGTTTCGGGTATGTTTCAGGTATGTTACGGGTATGTTACGGGAAACCTTTCCTGACCTGGGTTGAGCTACTCTAGACCTTCGCCCGCTGCTAACTTCATGCAAACGATTTGAATAACGCGGGGGTATGTTTCAGGGGTATGTTTCGGGGTATGTTGCCGGATATGTTTCGGGGTATGTTTCGGGGTGTGTTTCGCGCAAGGACAACACTCCTCCAAGACTACAAATTCAACCCCCCCAAAAAAGACAGACCCAAATACGTCAACTCTCAACCCTCGCATCCTGCCGTCACCCCCCCACCCCTGAAAAAAAAGAGCAAAAACAACAGTCCTTTAAAGAAGCCCAAGCTAAACCAGAAGAAGAGTCCTTGCATGAGTCGACTGAAGCTGGTCCACCCGTGGAGGCACAGCTGGCATCTGGACGGTTGTACTTGCGACCTAAGGTGTCGCTTACATGGCTGCGGCTTTAGAGTTTCGGGATACAGTAGAAGCCAGAAAGTTGGAATATCATTATCGTAACCCCTTTAAGGTAAACTATAGGGGATCCTACCATTAATCCCCAACTTTCTGGAGTTCCCTTTAAGGGATTCAGAGCCCAGGTTGTGGGCGAGTTTGGAGATATTGCTGCTACTAGCTTCCTGGTAGGGGTGGGGGCAGGGGTCGTGGGTTTAGGGCTTCGGGGTTGCAGGGCTGCGGTGGTTTGCGGTTGGGGTTGGGATTTCAAGTTCTCCCCAGGATACTCCGGAAAAGGCTTCTGTTCCCAGGCTAGAGTCTTTACAGGGCCGCAGCAGCTCAACTCCTACACTCAATTAGTACACCCTCAACCTGAACCCTAAATGCTGAAACTTTGAAGAAACTTTCTTGTAACCTTTCCAGCAATCCCTACAGTAACGCTTACAGGAACACTCATGGGGAAAACAGCCGCGGCATGGACACAACCAGGTTGTGGAATTGATGCAAATTTGTGTAAAGTCGTGGTTGGCGGTTCGGGTTTTTAGGCTTTCGGGCCCCTGAACCCAAAACCCTAAAACTCCATACCCAAAACCAAACGATGCGGCGCTCTTCCATATTTGCACCTCTGCTCTGCTACTCCCTAAACCCTAAACCCGAGGCCTTAAACCTAAAACCTCAACTCTGAAGCTGTAAAACAGCAGTTCGCGGTTTCTACTGCCGCAACGCAGCAAGCTGGAGGCCTGACTGGTCCGCCTCACAATTGAAACGAGGAGTTGGAGGAGAGACTTCTATTCTCGACACAAAAAAAACAAGAACGCAAACTCCCAACCCCCCAAAGCCCTAAACCACTCGATTCCCCCAAATCCGCAACTCCCAAAGTCACCAAATCTCGAGACAATCCTGTCCAAAATTCACCCTGCTCTCTGGGCCCCTCGCTGCACATGTTGTGATCCGGATCCTCTCCCGGGTCCTCCAGAAGATACTTTTGTGTCTTCACCCCACAAAAACCTGTTAGCTTCATGGGTCCTGCCGGGGGGACTCCCTCTGTGGAGCGCTTGCCATGCGTATCTGAGCATATGGGTGGTTGTCAAACTTATGGTGCCTTTTTTTGGGTACCCTAAATAATTGGTGCCGTATTGTAATGGGGACCCCAAAAAGGGAGCATAATTTTGACAACAGCCCAGATCGTGATCATTGCCACAGTCGGCTCCTCCGGGCTCGTCGGTGGCCTCATCCCGCCGTTTCAAGGGCTTTCTGCATGCTCCAAAAGCTCGCGATCGGCCACACGATAATGTAGTAGCCTTAAGAATTAGAAGAAGGTTTTCGGGCCCATAATGCTCTAGTTATAACAAGGAGCCCCCAAAATAGTATAGCTGCTTGTTAAGGCCCCGAAAGGAATTTCCACCCCATCACCTTGGAGTGCGGCTTCGCGGTTCCGCGTTAGTCAATTTTCAAAGGTCTATAGGATTCGATGCTTACGCTGGCTTTATGGCCAGGGCTGCACATCAGTGTTGGGAAAGGGATTGGCTCAGGTCTTCAGTCTTGCTCCTCTCACAGCGGGTGACGTGTCGTTAGACGCGATCAAGGCGTCGCAGGATGACTTGAACGGATCGCCCCGGATGGCTTGGTGAAGGGACTTCTCGGCTTCCAAAGCGGGTTTCAGGGGTTCACTTGTTGTTGTCAACCTCAGGTTCTGGGAGCAGTGGATGAAGGCCCCAGGGTCCTTGGCATCCATGGCGTTGCTGTCGTGCATGATGATGTCCACGGTGAAGCCGAGGTCTGGATAGTCGACGTGCTGGAACCAGTACCTGATGTGCAGCACTGAAGCTGGTACTACTGGCTGTCAGAACGATGGCATAAGCCAACAAGGCACTGAAAACCGTGATCACCATCATCGTCATCGGCATCATCACCACCATCAACATGATTGATCAGAATATTGGTGTTCGTCGTCGTCATCGTCACCACCATCATGGACACCGCCATCATCACCCACATCAGTTTCACCATGCACACGCACACCTCATCCTCATTATGTCATTAGCATCTTCCTGGCCTAGGCTGATACCCGGTGCACCCGTAAGAGTGGTCGTGCAACACTGGGTTCTTGTTACGGAACTCGAGTCAAGATATCGCAATGGACACAGTATCTGTCCAGTGTGTCATGGCAACCAGAACTGAAATCCGCAAGACAAGTACACCAAACAGCAGAACTGGCTGTATCTAGGGCCTCAACCATTAGAAATAGACAAGTTAGATAATCGGGACAATAAGAGGATACTCGTACTTTCTAAACCCTGAACACTTTCCCCTAACCCTAAACCCAAAGGGGATTACAAGATAGATTCACAAACCTGCCGAAAATCCTCGAATCAGAAGGCTGCCTTCTTCCATGGCGCACTTAGACTTCGAAGATGCTAAAACACGCTGTAAGGTTTGGGTTTAGGGCTTAGGGCCTAAGATCAACTTTAGGAACCTTAGGATTTAGGGTTTCGGGCTCAGGCTTTAGGGATAGAGGCTCTGAATTAGACCAGGTTTTCTTCGTGCGAACCCGAACGTTCAAATCCTATTGCCTAAAACCTTACACTCCTAAACCCCCAGCTCCAACTAAAAGCCAACACACCCTCTACACAATGCGGGCAATTACTGCGGAAGAACACCATGTGTTTTTGTTTTTTTTGGGAGGGGGGGTGGGGGGGCTTCGGAAATTTGTACAGTTTTGAGAAAACGGAATCATGGGGTTTAGAAGAATACCTCTGTGAAACTCTGTGGGCTCTACAAGGCTATGGATGTGGCTTGAGGGGCAAAGACACTCACCGTTCTTTCTGAACCGACACTCGCAGTTGCAACATCGGAGCCTGAGGAATTAGACTTGGTCATTTTCGTTTGGTGTGTGTTTTTATATATCTCTTCACTAAGAACCCTAAGGAATAATATTGTTGTTCAAGCTTCTTTATTCAGTCGATTCTGCCAAAGGGCGGTGCCGGCATGCGCCAGCGCGGGCTTGCCCAGGTGTAGGCAATCTGCCTCAGAGCATCTGAGCGTTAATAATTCGAAGAGGGTTTGGGGGTATTTTATACTATAGTTACAAAGAACCCCCAAACTAGTATAGGTAATTAGTAAGGCCCCTATATTCGAGCTATTAGTCTCGTCAAAAGCAATACCGACCATGTTCATGAACATCACCATCACCACCATCATAATCAGACTACTTGTGCCAGTATCATGAGATCGCCGCCAGCAAATTAAAGGGAAAGTATTGGCAAGGAGGCCAGTACAACCACAAGGAAGAAGAGAGAAACAAACTACAGAGGAGGGGAACGGTGCACAAGCCATCAGTCGCGACGATGGCATGTACGAAACCATTCCAACTCCTAAGCCTTCCTGAGCCCTTAATCGAGTCATCGTGGGGCGTGGAGTATCATTAGGCAACCACAAACCGGCCGGTCTCAGAGGTTCACAGCACGAAGGCCCTTGAGGCTCCGAGTTTTTCGATTCTTGAATAAGAATGGCGAGGACAACGGAAACACCCACACTCATCCTCAGCCCACACCCCGACCCTTAAACACTAGCCAACAAAACTTCTACCCAATACCGAAAAACCAGACCCCGGCATCTTTCTTCGAGCCCGCAGACCCCGTCAATTTTGCGGCGCTGGAAAGACATCTCAATTACAACAGTAGTCAAAACATGTGACTTACTATGAAGACACCTGCTTATAAGTGAGATGTATGTATGTACGTATGTATGTATGTATGTACGTACACACATACGCGTCATCTAGCCTGAGCCCCAAAGCTGTGCCCACGACTAGGCTTTTTCGAATCTCCAGTCCTCCATGACCCTAAAACCGAAGCTGCAATCTATACCCAACTCCCAAAACTAAACCTTAAGCCTTGAAACTACAGCATAGCAAAAGAAAATCTCAAAGCCACAAACTTCAAGTTGACGTGCAGGCTAAGCTTCTGATCCCATCCGTTGTAGAACTGCCTGCCTTGCCAGGTGTAGGGTCACGCTTGACGTTGCAACTGCGATTCTCAGCAAACGACGGGAAGCTTAACAGAGACCCCCAATCATGTTCGTTGGGGGCCTCAGAACTGTCTCCTTCGGCGGATTCCTTCAACCAGACCCCCAACAGAGGGATCCTCAGTAGAATTACAGTAGAATGACTCCGAAATGAATGAATAAGGCACTAAGATACCTCGCTGCCCCCCGACTCTTCAGAAACCCACAACTGAGCTCAGGCTCGTCTTGTGGAGATGGACAACTGTAGGACTGATGGTGCCTGATACCTGAATCCCCAGACCCGAATCTCCAAAGAACAACCCCTTAAGACCTCCAAACTGCCTCGACCTCTAATCCTGAAGCCAGAAAGGCACGTAAACCCAAAAATCTCAAGATCTCAGAAGCAGGGGAATGCCCTTCTAAGGGCCCTTATGCCCTCTCTTGCACCCGAGTTCTTGTGCTGAGCACGAGAGTCCCGCAGAAGCGGTTCCTAAACTAGCCCTAAACCCTTGAGCCTGGACGACAAATCTCGAAAGTTCCGTGCTCCCAAAAAAACAGAAACCTTTTAAATCCCAAACCCGAGTAGCCCCCATGGCCGTGCGAGGTTGTGCTGGTAAGATCGAAGGCAACGGCCATGCATGGTACAAGGCTTACATGGCTCTAGGCTTCTTTTCAGCGATGTGAGAATGTTCCGACACCGTCGGAATAAGGAGTAGAGTCTCGTGGCCTGCCGTTTAGGGTTGAGGGTTCGGAAACAAAATCCTCATAGCTGTACTTTTGGACGGCGTACCTTACTTCGTAATCCCGAAAGTACACCCTAAACCCTAAGCCCTAAACCCTAGAAGCCCTAAACCCTAAGCCTTACCCTGAACCCTAAACCCTGGGCCCGACACTGCCCTAGACTCTTCCCTCTACTGAAGAGCTGTCCTCCCCAGTCGTGATTTCCAAGAACGCTGAGCCATGGCCTGGGTTTCTTCAGTTGGGTGGGGTCTAGGTTTAGATCCCAAGCGGCCTTGAGTTTAGAGTTTCGGGTTCAGGGTTTGGGTCTTCGGGGTTTCGGGTTTAGGGTTTAGGAGCTCAGGGTCTGGAATCTAAACTGAACTTGGAACCCTAGCAAAAATTATGACTTTAGCTGTTTCTTAGGGATTATAATAACCAAAAAACTTTAAAAATATTTCTAAGTACCCCTAAGGCTCGAGTTTACCACTGAGGGTCTGGTCTAGCAGGGATGGGCATAGCCGCCCTGACTCAGAAGACTCCAGAGATCGTGAAGTCTCCGAGTACTAGATCCTTGTTGGGATTTAGGGTTTAGGGTTTAGGGTTTAGGGTTTAGTTGGGATAGGATTAAAAATTGTACAATTTCAGTCCTTGTTGCTTCAAGTACCCATAAACATGTAAAATGTTACCCAACTATGACAAAGAATAGGGTTTGCAGTGATGCAGGGCTTCGGGATGAGGGCTCTGGATTTAAGGTTCAGGGTTCGGGATATGTGGTTTACGATTCGGCACCTCGGGTTTCGGACATAGACTTGAGGAGCTTGGCATTGTAGCTTCGGCAAGTTTAGCGTTGCATGTCCTACCGGGACAGCACCCCTAAACCCTATACCCTAAACCCCTCGACCCTAAGCTGCTGATTGACTCAGTTGATGCGGCCTCCTCCGACTCTCTAAAGCAGAAGCCCACTAAGCCCCACTCAGAAGCAGCTCCAAGTCAAAAACTTTAGGGTTTAGGGTTCAGGGTTTTGAATTCGCTGAAACCGTAAACCCGATCAGAGGTCTTCCAAGTAGAAGGTTCCCAAAAAGCATGCAGACCCTTCTGCCCCGAATGCCAAACTGCTCGAGTTCTCTCCCTTGGTTTTGGTCCTCCAGTTCGGTGACGGCCTGGGGCCTTAAGTTGGGATTTGGGTTTTGGCTTAGGGTGGAGGGTATGGGGCTCGAAGCTGCGATCTGGCTTCGGGAGCTAGACCAGCACCACACAGGCAAGATGCTTGCCGTCCAAGCCAGCACCATTGTAAATGCCCTCGTAAATGTTGTCAAACTGATGGCGGGCAGTTCCAGAAATACCTCCCATGGAGCCTTGTCGATGCGGGTTTAGCTTCAGCATGTAGTTGTAGTGAAGGCTTGGGGTTTGTGAGGCCAGGGTTTAGGATTGAGGCTGGGTTCGGCTAGGTGCTTGCACCATAGTATGCTTGAGTCTAGTTACAAAGTAGATGAACGAAGTGAAATGAGAGAAGCGAGAGACATGAACACCAGGGGACATGCAGCGTTCTAGCAAGCTATGACTGGTGCAAGACTGTCACAAATAAGTCTCCGCACAGATAGCAGACAAGCGAGTCGCAGACCCAGCTAGTTTCCCAACGAATTCCTCCTACACCTCAAACCCCCGATTAAAACTCGCGACATCCGAAACCCTGCTCGAACAAGACGGTTTACTGTTTCGAGTTTAGGTTTCAGCATACGGTTCAGGGCTTAGGGCTTAAAGAGCTTGACACTCCACACTAAGTCTCAGAAAACCACAGGTCTTACCGTTTCGGCCCGGGGTGTAGCGAGCTTTGTGGCGACAAGGTCGTAGAGGCTGAAAGTGAGACCAATTCTTCGAACCATGACTCATGGCAATATGATAGAGACGCATAACTATATTGGCGATGATCATGTAACGATTTATGGTGTAGGATTTAGGTTTCAAGGTTTTGGGTTTTGGCGGTACGGCGTAAGTGCCTTTGTTTAGTGCGGGATGCCCTGATACGATCCTCGAACTCCCACACAAGTCCCCCCCCCCAACCCAGGTATATTCGGGCAACTTCCACAGTCCACCTCGATGCCGCCCCAGTAGAAGTTGTCACCCACGTTCCTCAAGATTGTTGTTGTGTTGCGGCACGAAGAACGCGGAGGGACTTGAGATTCTGAGATCTTACGAGCCGAGCCAGTACTAGGGCATCGCCTGCCGGCATCATGCCAAAACGAGCAATGGCAGTGTCAGGGTTGGGGGTCTTTGGGGACCTGGAGGCTGCATTTCAGGATTCCACCGTTTGCTCATTATAGAACAGACGGCAGGAGGTGCGAGAAGCAGCGGCAGCAAGGTCAGTGTGCTTTGACTGACGAGAGCCACAGCAAGGTTTTCAAACTTGGATGAAAACACAACTCCCTTAAATCCTAGACTCTACACCCGCAACATGAGGAGTGCTCCGCGGAGACGGATTCAGACATGCAGTGGGTGGAACGGAAACCGGTTGAATCGAAGGTCCTGAAACCTGGAAACCTGAGTCACTGCCCCTTTTGGTTGTTGCTAGAACTTGAAAACATGACTCACTGCCCCTCTGGGGTGTCGCTATAACTTGGAAGCATGACTCCCTGCACCTGTGGGGCGTTGCTATGCAATATAGAAGCCGGCATCATGAGTAACAGTAGTCCTTACACTTGGTTGTTATAACTATACCATATAAAATATGCCCCTAACCCTCTTCGCATTATTCAGGCCCCTATATTGTAATACCCTTATAGATCCCTTACAGTAGCTTTATAGTAGACCTGTTTAAAGGGAATCCTCTTCTAATTATTCAGGCCCGCTATTTTTTTCCAAAACGCAGGAAGCCCAGGTTCTCTTCAGGGTTTGGGGGTTCAGGGTTCAGGGTACTCTCCTCGAATCTTCTATCATGTTCCCTCTGCAACAACCTGCATTGTTGCAGAGCCTTCGCCGCCCAGAATTACGCCCAACTCTTCAAGAGCGCTCTAAACCCCTGCAAAAAACCGCCTGAAGCTTGTCAAGGGCCATCCAAAACCTCTGAACCCTCAACCCTTTGAGCCCGAAATCCCAAACTCCTCAACCCTGAACCCTACGGGCTAAACCCTGAACCCTATCCAAGGGTAAAAGGAGGGACCCTTAAGAAGGACCCCTAGGTATATATCCGTTATATAGCTACTATATACCCATTATATAGACCCATTATAGGGTAGGGGTCCCCATTAAAGGTCCCTCCTTTTCGCCTGTGACCCTACGCCTTCAACCGCAATACCCATTGATGGGAGGCCAAAAGGGGGGTTTAAGATTCTTGGGGTAGGGATTCCTTAATATGCACCCTATTATGGGAACCCGAATCCCTACTAAACCCACATAGGCTAAAACCCCTTTTGGCCTCCTATGACCCATAAGCCCGGGTCTCAAGATGTAGTCTGGGTTGGCGGCCTCACGGAGAGGAGTTCCCAAAGCAACAATTACGGGCTACGGGCGTGGCTTTAATTAAGGTTAAAGGAGGCTTTACTTGTTGTACGCTGGTAAGGCTGATTTTTCGGCTTTGAAGGTTTTAGAAGCTTTGCATACAATCGTATAAGAGTTAGCTTGTTTTTGTGGGGGCTTGACTCTTAGACTTAGACAGAACATCTTTTGCGCACTGCATTTGGGATTCTTGGTTTTCGGGTCGGCTGTGCGTGCGAGGTTTAGGGTTTGGGCTTGTGGGCTGAAGATGAAGAGCCGAATAGGGGTTTAGGGTTTAGGGTTTAGGGTTTAGGGTTTAGGGTTTAGGGTTTCGGGTTTAGGGATAGTTGATAAGAGTGCACCGTATAGCCTCCAGCTACACTAGCGTGCACCCAAAACCACGGGGGAGGTCAGCGGTTGAGGCGTTTCAGGTTTAGGGTTTAGGGTGCAGGAGCCAAGGTCTCCAAGTTCAGAGGTTACCTGTAAACAATTTTGGGGATGTGGTAATGTTGGTGTTAGACTAGTTGCTCTTGTTTGTGCTGGTGCTACTTTTCTTCTACCACCATGGCCATGGCACACCTGACCGACATCAACGACAACTGCTTCGTTATCTAAAACAGCAAAAGAAAATCATCACCATCAAAGCCACAACCTCTAGTAGTACTGTTCATCGTCATTAGCACCATCGCCATCATCACCACCATGACCACTACCAATGAAGAAAATCGCCCCAGATCTCGCATCTTCTAAGACGCTTCACGGTCGTCCTGGTTCTTCTACTTGGGACTCTGCATCATTCCGAGCTAAACCCCCAAAACCTAAACCCTCAACCCCCAACCCTAAACCTTCAACCCGTAACCCTAAACCCGCAACCCGAAAGCTTCAACCCTCAACCCTTAACCCTCAACCCTTAAACCCTCAACCCTTAACGCTTGAAGCCTTAAACCCTCAAACCTTACACCCTCAACCTTTAACCCTTGAACCCTTAAGCCCTCAACCCTTAACCCTTGAACCCTTAAGCCTTAAGACCCACAGCTTCCTGAGGTCCCTACGGCCGCCCGCCGCTTGAAGACATCTGCCACCAGGTACTGCGGGCGGGTGTCAACCTAGCGCGATTGAGGGCTTTGGGTTGTACGGGGAGTTTCCGAAAATTAGGGGTACCTTGTTCGGGGTCCTTATAATAAGGATCCTCCTATTTAGGGTACTACATTAGGGTCCCCTATTTTCGGAAACTCCGGTATAGGGCAAGGATGATAAGTTTAGGAGTTAAGCCAAGTTATGCTTGAAGGTTTAACGCGGGGAGTTTGGGCTTTCAGCGCAGCCAGCCTCGGGAACGAAGCCACATCCCGCTGGGCATCGCGAACCTTGCAATCCACTGCAGGCAAGAAGCCCTTAACCCTAAAAGATTCTGATCAAGACTTGATCCTAGACCCCAAAACTTCCAAAGAACACCACAGAAACTGTAGGGGCCTTAATAATTAGAATAGGGTTTTGGGGCCATTACACCATACACACTTATAATGAGGCACTCCCAAAATAGTACTGGTAATCATTTAGGCCCCTATATTATATAGAACCCTACATACTAAAGATCCCTTATAGACCCCTTTAAGGAACCCTTTGAAGGAGCCCCCAAAATATTAAGCTACCCTGCATTATCCGACACACCCGGCCCATCGCTAAAGCTCACCCTGGCCTCACGAACCTCGAAACCACCGGAGCCACCCCCCGCGGTTTAGGGTTTAGCGTTTACCATGATCATCACCGCCATGGTATAGGGTTTACGGTTTAGGGATCAGCATCAGCATCACCAGCATCAGGATGATGATGGTGAAGACGATGATGCTACAACTTCCGGTGGCTACTGTCACCGCAAGATGCCAAGGCAGCGGAATGTATTTGCCAAGCTCAGTCATGCGGCCGTGGGTGTTGAAGCACTCGACGAAGTCTTTGTGGTTGCAGAGTAGGTTCCTTACTCCCCGAAACAGCCGCAAAACGCATCTCTTGTTGGAACAAAAGTGTCATCCAACCCTAAGTAGAAGCCAACACCTATGCTCCTTCAAAAAAGACCCGCTCCCGTCACCCACACAAAACAGCAATGATGACGGCTCGTAAAAGAAGTATAGTATATACCAACAAAAACAGCAATGGTGATGGTTCATAAAGGAAGTTAAACCCTACTTGGAGGTTCATGGGTAGTTATAAGTGGGGTTATAAGTCCCCTAATATGGGCTTTAAGTATAGTTGCCCTACTTATAACCCTACTTATAACTACCCATGAACCTCCAAGTATGTCTTAAAACCGACCTGAAACTCTGGAATAAGAGAAGTAAGGCTCTGATGGGCGCGATCCCACCTGGACGGGAGATCTGGGCATGTCGGGCTTAGGTGCCTTGAGAAAAACTGGGCCTTATAATAATTAGACGGGTTTCCGGTGGTATCTTCTGCACCACTGGAATAAACCCTAAACCCTAAACCCTAATCATCAAAAACACTTGTTCATCCGACCTCCGACTTAGGATTGACGGCTTTGGGTCCTTGGGGCAGGGATTTCGGGCGTGGGCTTTTAAACAACTTTGAAACCTACGAGTGTTCTTGCGATGGTTAGTTTTAAGCATTCACCTTCTTGATGTTACATGTTATACCGGAATGATTGCTCTCGTTATGACTAGGGTATGATTACTTATGGCATGGATAAGTGCTGTTCTGAAAACTAAGACTGCTGCAAATACGACAAATCCTGCTACGATGCTGAGTTGCTTGCGATTGAGAGCAAGCATCGTCCCCACCATTAATGGAGGCACGCTTCACACCCCAAGTGCCGGTCGCACCCAACCGTCCACATTTCTCGGCAGCAGAACTACGCAAACCTAGAGCTTGATATGGGAGTTTCCGAAAATAGGGGACCCTAATATAGTACCCTAAGTAGTAAGATCCTTATTAAAAGGACCCCAAACTAAGGGTACCCCAATTTTCGGAAACTCCCATACTATCCCTAACTGCACGCAGGGTACCCTGCAGCCTTGAGGAAACAGCCCCAATTCTTTGAATCCTGGTGGAGCCCAGGAGTCCCGGAGGAGCCCAGGTCTCAAAGACAGAAGCGGTTTAGGGTTTAGGGTTTAGGGTTTAGGGTTTTGGTTTAGGGTTTAGGGTTTAGGGTTTTGGTTTAGGGTTTAGGGTTTAGGGTTTAGGGTTTAGGGTTTTGGTTTAGGGTTTAGGGTTTAGGGTTTTGGTTTAGGGTTTAGGGTTTAGGGTTTAGGGTTTTGGTTTAGGGTGTAGGGTTTAGGGTTTAGGGTTTTGGTTTAGGGTTTAGGGTTTAGCCCAGGTCTCAAAGACAGAAGCACCAGCGTTCTGCAGGGGCCTTGATAAGGAAAAGATGGTTTTGGGGCCCATTACACTATAATTATGATGAGGAACCCGTAAGTCTGTAGGCCCCTATACTAAACCCCCATCATACACCTTGTAGTCATCCTTATAGAACCCTAAACCCTATTCTGACTATCAAGGCCCCTATATTGTTGATGATATAAATCCTGCATTACATTAGGGACCCTAAGGTATGGAAATCATGGAATATTCCTTATTATGGGTACTGCAGGATTTATATCATCAACCGTACTACCCATCTCCCCCCCCGCCCTGGAGGTCGGTCGCCTGCTTCGCGGGAAGACGTGGGCCCCGGGGGTGTGGCCGCCGGAGTAGGCCTAGTTCATGGTTGGGACAGTATTAAACATGTACATATACATACATATATATATATATATGTATGTTTATATATATATATACATATGTAGATGTATATACATACATACATACATACATATATATATATATATATATAGATATGTGTATGTTGTATTCCTTATTGGGTTTAAGTACCCATTCAAGTGTAAAATGTTACCCAACTATGAACAAGGGCGATGATCCGAGGGCGGCCGCAGCATGGGCTCAGAGAGCCGTCCATGCCTCCCCAATCGCCTGGGAGGGCTTCAGCTGAAGGGTGGAGGGATGTATAGAGCATATAGTAGACAGTATACCGTATCTAGATAGAATTGCAATATAAATATGTACATGTAGATAGACATATATGTCATACTATATGCAGAGAGAGAAACAGAGAGAGAGAGAGAGAGAGAGAGAGAGAGAGAGTCTCACGCGTAGTCTATGAGGGTATGCGAGCGCTTCACAGGGGCGTCCGTAGAGAGTTACTTGGAGGATCATGGGGCTTAGTAAGTAGGGTTACAAGTACCTTAATTAAGGCTAAATGTAATTATAACTGTAGTTACCATACTTATAACCCCAATTACTATGTCCCATGATCCTTTCAGTACCTGCATTCTACCGTGGCCTTAACTAAGGAAATATACCTTAAATCATGGGGGGGGCTTAATATAAAATCAGTTCAGGTATACATTACTTGATTAAGGAAATCCAATCCCAAACACCACATATTCGTCGGAAAGGTAGTCATTAGGCAGCACAAAGTAACTATCGCATGTAGGACATGCGGCTGCAGCTCTAGCGCAGGTCGGCTTTGGGTCATCAGGGTTCAGCTCATGTTCTTATTATTACTACTATTACCATTACTACTACTACGATTACGACTACTATTGCTATTATTAGTACTATTACGATTAGAATTGCAGGCCTTCTGCCTGCGAGGAATAGATTAGTCGGATGTATGCCAAGATGACTAGAGCGCAAGGATTTAAACCCTAAACCCTTAAACCCTAATCCAACAACTCATTGCAACTCCTCAAGACTTGAACGATCGAGCTTGTGGGATTCGGGGCGTCAGCACTTAATAGCGTCTTGGGGTATACTTTAACCGCTACATTTGGGCTGTCTAAGGCACAGTTTCGGTCAAACTTCTGTATGATTTCAGAGCTTCGGGACCATATCCTCAAAACTTTACAGCCTCGAGGCAATCAGCGCGAAAGCCTTTTTTACAAAGCTGCGGCCAAGCTTCCGATGGCAAAGATATGCTTCACACCTCAGCAGCTGGGGGTTTAAGGTTCAGGGTTTAGGGTTCACAGCCTGTCACAGCAGAGGCGCCTAGAGATTACTTAAGGGCCAGCTTGAGAGTTACATAAAGCGGTCCTATGCCGTTTAAGTGTTGTTGCGGCCCATGCTGGGGCAATATCGGAAATTGTCGTTCACTCTTGCTATCTTAGAGGCTGAAGGCACAGCGCAAGCAGAATCAATTGTCTGCTTCTGGTACAGTGTAACCTGTCGTGGCAGAAAAGCAATGATGTAATGCTTCGATTTTACAAAGGACTTTTGGATTCAGGGTTTATGGTGATGCTTGAACTGTGGCTCGACTGGACGAATTAATATCGGGGCCTTAATAATTAGAATAGGGTTTTGGGGCCCTTTATACCATACGTATAATAAGGACCCCCAAAATAACATAGGTAATGATTTAGGGCCCTATATTAGTTGCAAACCTTCAGAGCCCGGACCTCTCATTCGGTGCCCATGGCTACCCGGCTACCCGAAGCAGAAGGCAGTATCCTGGACCCAACCCCTCAAGTGAACAGAAACACAAAACACAGAAGACAAACCCTCAAAACACGTCAGCATCACCAGTCCCAAAAATCCTGGGACTGCAAAACCCACATCGGAATTTCCACAGGGGGGACCCTAATATAGTACCTTTAACAGTAGGATCCTTACCCCGAAAAAGGTACCCCCAATTTCCGGAAATTCCCAAATGCCTGCACCTAAAGCCCTCAAGCCCAGAACAGTAATCCAGAAGGACGGACCCGTAATAAGGACCCCTAGGTATATACCCTTAATATAGCTATGATATACCCATTATGTCGCCCATTATAGGGTAGGGGTCCCCATCAAGGGTCCCTCCTTTTCCCCTTTGAAGTAAGAGAGCCAGACCTGTCCCGCCCACGGTGATCGGCTTCCACTCAACGCCCTTGTAATCCTCGTGGCTTAGGTGTGGGAACCTTGAGCCATAAACCCTAAACCCCTAAACCCCTAAACGCTTGAGGATGTAGGAACCCTAGGCCATAAACCGTAAACCCCTAAACCCCTAAACCCTGTGATGGCTCAAAAACTCAACTTCGAACGCTCTGGATGCTTGAGGTGTCCAGGAAGTAGTTAGCAGGCTCAGGCCTTTGGGGACTTGAGAGGGTTGGGGCCCCATAAGCCCTGGACCCTCGACTAGGCGATTGATTGACGGTTGAAAGTTAAAAGGGTTTAGGGTGTCTAGGGCTTCAGGGCTATACGGCTTTGGGTTCAGGACTTTAGAGCCTCTTGCTCCTGGATTTAGGCGTCTGCGATTTTCGGGAGATTTCGTGTTCACAGCCGCAAGGGGTGCAGGGTGTGTATGGCATATTGATGTAGGGCCTGGAATCCCGACGTGCCTGGCTTGGCACCGACCTTCTCCTCTAATTACTTCGAAGACGACTGGACAGTGTAATATAGGCGCCTAAATAACTACCCAGGGGGGTTCTGAATATGGTTATAGTATAATGTACACCAGAAACCTATTCAAATTATTAAGGCCCCTGTATTGCGTCCTTGTCCACCGCAATCCTTACATGGCCTCCGAAGTGAGACCCCTACCTACTTTCTGCCTGCACTCAATACATAAGTGGAGTTACTATGGTTTAGGGTCAGGGTACTAGGGAACCCTACCCATCAGGTACAAAAGCGACGTCTACGTTGAGAAACCCTGAAATGCCGACCCAGCGTCCATGGCCCTCACGGGTGGTCCCATGCCACTCAGTGCCCGCCCTCCGCGGAGCTGTGCTCCCGCGTCTTCGCCGGTGGTGGTGTTCGAGGCCCAGCACCTTCTGCACAGGTTTCGGTTTAGGGTTTAGGGTTTAGAGTGTAGGGTTTAGGGTTGGTTTTCCTAAGCTTTAGACCCCAAACAAAAACAGAAACGGGAGCCTACAACCAAAACAGCCTAGCTAGCACCACGGTGGCAGCGGTATCACAAGAAATCAGGGCACACGAGGACCAGCAGCTGGGGCAAGCATATCTGCAGCAGTTTGCCCATCATTCAAAGTAAGAGCACCGAGAATTTATCTGCCAAACTTCCCCTGAGTCAGAACTCGATGGCTGCGGAGGGTGTCGGTCTCAGAGTCGCGTGAGCGCTTTGAAACATCCAGATGGGAGTTTCCGAAAATTAGGGGGGTACCTGATTTCGGGGTCGTTAGAATAAGGACCCTACTATTTAGGGTACTATATTGGGGTCCCCTATTTTCGGAAACTCCCAGATAGTTTCAGTCATCCCTTTTGACCCAAACCTGTTCTACCGCGGAATGGATCATGCAAACCCGGCTGGAGAAACGGGGCATGCGAAGGAGTCTCAACTTTACTGGATCTCCAGCGAAGAAGAATATATGCTGTATATATATATATATATATATATGTATATATCACCGCTCGTGCCTTTTTGCCTGCAGACAGGGAATGTAGAGAAAGATCCAAGCAACTATGCAGAGATCAGTCGGCCAAATGCTGAATTCGACATACAGGTTCAGTGTTTCACGCACATGCACACTCCACACACACAGACATCCACGCCCAAAAAACAACACAGAAAGGCCCAAACAAAGAAACAAGAAAGAACACATGAATGAAAGAAGGCGTGGGAAACAGAGACAGAGACAGAGACAGGAGAGAGAAAGAGAGAGAGAGAAAGAGAGAGAGAAAGAGAGAGAGAGAGAGAGAGAGAGAGAGAGAGAGAGAGAAAGAGAGAAAGAGAGAGAGAGAGAGAGAGAGAGACAGAGAGAGAGAGCGATCACAGATCACTCGTCGTAGGCGGCACATGCTAGCTATCAGTCGAAAGTTCTTGCTCAACACGTAGGGCTGGAGGACTTCATCTTGCTGTTCAATCATGAAGTTACTCGTGGAGACTCACCTTCAAGCCTTCTGTACCGAGTTTCTCAACAGATACGAGAACCAGGGAGACACGGCATGGAGGAGATGAGCTTACCCCGACTCATCTTCTGACCATCGCTGCTCTGAAATGCCAGGGCCGTGACAACCAGAAGGTTCTCCTGCAGACTGCGAAGCTCTCTCGGCTAAGGAACAGTCTCTAATCTACTTAGTCTACTTGTCCAATATCCTGGGAAAACTAAAGCTTAACCTTTTGCATGATATAGGGGTGGCGGTACTCCAAGCACGCTAAAGTTGCCTACACCACTACTAAGATTCTCTTGCAACTTTGCTTTTTACAATGCTCGCAGGAAAGGTGCTTCGTGAAGGGCTCTCTTCCTTTTTGTGAAGACTTTACGACTTCAGGGAGGTTCAGGGGTGGGGTCTAGGATTTAACACGTCCCCGGGTTAAAAAGCTCATGGTTTGGGGTATTAGACCCGCTAGTCTGAGTCCGCAACCCCAAAACCGATAACAACAACCTCGAGATTCGGAACCCTCGACTCCAGAACAGCAACAAGCAGCAGCAGCAGCAGCAGGAAAAGGCCTCGGGCTCAGGGAAAAGCCAACACGGCTGAATTCAAAACCCCAAAGCACAAGCCCTGCTTAGCACCAGGCTGGCTTCACGTCCCGATGGAAAATGTCCCTCGCCTGGACGTTTCCGGGGCTTATGGGTTGTAACCCGAAGCATGAACCCTGAACTCTGAACCCTAAACCATAAACCATTTGGTTCGGGCAGGGATGGCGGAGAAGGACTCCATGCTTGCATGTTGGCCCGTACAGAAGTCGACCTCCACAGGGTTTGGGGGCTTTGGCCTAAAGAAGTGGTGTCGTCAAGCAGCTTCGCGTTTCGGCGTGCAGGGCTAAGCATTTCAGGGGGTTTTGGACTCAAGGGTTTGGGTTTCAGGACCCCAACAATCGACAAAGAACGGTGGGGCGCGCCAAGAAGAAGTGGTCATTCGAAAAAGCCCTGGAGGAGAGTCCGATGTACACACACCCGTAATCACAATCAAAATAGGCAGAATAGGAGACATATTTCAGATATTTTGCCAGATTGCGCGAGTTTCAGCTGTAGTTTATGATCCCTAGGTTCCTTGCAATCGAGACAGGCTCCTTGTAGCCCGGGCAAAGTCCCGAGGTTCAAATCCCAAAACAAAGGTTTCGACACTTAGGAGTATTTAGGAGGGTTGGGGATGGCCTCAAAACCTGGGAGTTTCAGAATATCTGGGGTACCTTCTCCTTATAGTAAGGATCCCACTATTGAGGGTACCATATCGGGGTCCCCTATTTTCGGAAACTCCCATTTGGGTGGTTGTCAAAATTTAGGTTCCCTTTTTGGGTCCCTATTATAATGCGGCACCTATGATTCAGGGTTTAGGGGTTTAGGGTTTAGGGTACCCCAAAAGGGACCCTAATTTTGACAACTACCCATTTATGATTTAGAGTCGACCCCGGAGCCCTGAACCCTGAGCCCCAAATTGGTTCCTTTCAGGGGTTTGAGGGGTTTGAGGGGTTTAGGGCAGGGTTTAGGGTTTAGGGTTTAGGGTTTAGGGTTTAGGGCTTGGGACGTTTCAGGGTTGCTTTAAGGGCGTTCTAGGGTTTGGAGGTTTAGGGGTTAGGGTTTTAGGGTTTTGGGTTCCTAAACCCGGCCCTACATGGGAGTTTCCGAAAATGGTGGACCCTAATACAGTGCCCTAAATAATTAGTAGGATCCTTATTGTACGGACCCAAAATAAAGTAGCCCTAGTTTTCGGAAACCCCCAGATACCCTCATAAGCCCAAAGTGTATATAGGCGCCCCGACGTGAAGATGGGCGAGGGCGTCGAACAAATCGCGGAGCGGAGTCCTCGGGATTGCTGTTCCAAAAATGATTTATAAGTCCACCGAATTTATTTCCTTGGGGTTTAAGCTTTAGGGATTAGGGGTGCAGGGTTTAGGGGTTTAGGGTTTAGGGTAGTTGAGTTAGTTGAGGCTTTAGGGTTGAGTGACGGCATGTTTATCTCGATCAGCTGGTCAGCAAGCCTCATACGAGTTCAGCGTCAATGCTGAACTTCTTCAAGGCTTGCTACTGCAGTCAGGGTCAGGGTTAAGGGTATAGGGTTAAGGGTATAGGGTTTAGGGTTCAGGGTATTATAGGGTTTAGGGTTCAGGGAATATGGTTTGGGGCTTGAGCGGTTTATGCTAGAATCTCTACACGAAGGCAAGGATGCAAGGGAACCAAAAGGTTACAGAGTACATGGCCGCGGCTCCAAGATCTGCGAGGACAAAAAGAGGGTTCAGGGCTTAATTAGGGCTTATAGCTGCGGTACTTGTAAGGAACCATAAAGCAAAAGTTCACAGTAAATCCATGAATTCAGCAGCAGCAGCAACAACAACAACAAAAGACGGAATGTGAACATAGCAACTTTTGCGAACAATCCGAATCATGATGGAATACGAAAAGGAATAAAGGCGGACATCTACTGCTTATTAGTCAGGCCAGGTGCTGCTACCTGGAGTCTTTCCCACTATGGTGGCGACTTTTAGCCTGAAACCCCCAACCTCACTGCCATCGGTAGAGATTTGCGATGAGCGTCAGTTCTGGGTGTGGGACTTCACCTTAAATTCTACACCCTAGACCCTCTTGGAGAGTATAAGACTTGGCTCCAGCCCTAAACCCTAAACCCTAAACCTCTAAACCCCTAAACCCTAAACCCCGGGAAGTCAACTTGCAGACCCCTGCCTTGAAACGGTTCCTCAGCCTATGGGACTCTGCAGACGTGCAGCCGCAAGCCCGAAGCTTCCGTCACTGCTACAGGGGCCTCAATAACGGTTTAGGGTGTAGGGTTGTGGTTTAGGGTTTAGGGTTTAGGTTTTTGGTTTAGGGTTTAGGGGCATTAATGACTGGAATGGGGCTTTGTGGACCGCCAGTCCCGAGAATTGGGAATTGAGGCCCCTGAACCGGTTTTTTTCACCCAAAAGCAGGAAATGGCCCTCCAAAAGCGCCGAAGTGCAAGTCTTCTATCGACTCTGCTCATAAGGTGACAAAGGTACAAGGCCTCTGAGATTCAGGAACTTCTGCCCAAGCTCTTGGTGACCCTACACAAGGCCCTTTCGGGCTACGAGGTTTGGGGTGTGATGGGCCAAGATTTCGGGGATACGGGTTTGCGGGTGCTGCGTGGATGCTTCATGGCTTGATCCTCAGCCGCTGGCATAGCTTGCTTCTCTTGTATCCGACTTCCCTCGGCGACTCGATCGTACAAGTCGCCACGGCTGTAGAAAGCCTGAGAACGGGCAGCACCCCGCAGAAAACTCCCACCACCGCGATCCACCAGGTCTTCCTTGAACCCAAATCCCAGAATCGCTAAAGAACCTTTCTGCGACCCTTGTAGAGGTCCTACAGATCTGAACTTGGGTGGCCAACCCGATGCAAGCCTCTCAGGTTTCCAAATGCCCAACTCAATAACACATGCAACCTGAGCCCTAACCTAAGCACCAATCCGCATGTCCTAAATGTTGAACCAGCACTAGACACACCCCAAGGCCCAAAAAAGTCCCAAACCCACAAGCCTCAGCCCCAACCTCGAATCTTGCTTGAACCAAGTACAAGCCCGAAAATCGTCAACCCTAACCCCAAAAGTAGGCGGGTTCTCATGGACGCCATAACGCTCCGAGATTGTACTCAACTCCCATACCCGCACCATATTGCAATCCCTGAACCCCCAAACCCCAAACCCTCCACACTGACTGCACCCTAAACCTAAAACTCTAAATGCTAAGTGCCTCGGTCCGAAACTCCATTAACCTAATGGCTTCGCTTTGGCTTCCGGCCCCAAGGACGGGGGTGCCCCCAGTGGCAGCAGAATTTTAACAGGGTTTTGATCGGTTCAAAAGGGCTCGGACTACCAATCTACCACACCTGTTTAAGTCTTTGTTACTATATACAACCCCTACTCGAGGAACAAGCTGTCTCGGCTACGAAATGTGGTCGCCGGTTCTGCGGCCAGGAGACAAACACTAGGTTGTACGGCGAGGACCTTGGCTTTGGCATCTTCGGGAGACAGGATTCGGCGGCTGCTGCTACCACAACGACGACTACCACTACGACTACGACTACCTCTACGACGACGACTACGACTACG